ATCAGTGAATAAATCTAGTCCAACATTGGAAAAAGATTACTGCATGTTGCCAAAGTTAGAGAAAGGAAATAAAAGGAGTATAGAAATTAGAATTGAAGATAGCGATTGTATAGATAATAAAGCTACTGAAAGATGCGTAATAGCTCCCAGCCTCGGGGAAATTCCTAGAAGTAAAAGTTGTGGAAATCTTATAAGTAAAGAAAAAGACAAGGACTTGGATGTTGAAGTAAAGGTATTGTTTTCATCTTTAAATGAACTTGACATGCAAAAAGAAAAGGAAGATAAAGATAGTCTGGTGAAAGGTGTTACGTTTAGTGAGAGCGAAAGTGGCGATGTTGGAAACAGGAAAGAAAAAGGCCATTTAGTGAAGATGTTGTCTTTTGATAAGAATGATGGCACTTACGATTCCATGGAAGGTCAAAACCTGGACTCTAAACCTGGTGATCTAGCAACAGAGGCGCAGAGTGAGCCTTCGGAAGTTTATGAAAATGACCAGAATTGTATTAAAACCATTTCAGTGGGTTCAGATCTATCACAGACTGATGCTTCTTCCCAAACTAAGGATTCCGTAGACTCGGAACCTCCCGGTACACTAGAAATTCCACATTCGCCCCCTATAACAACGGCTGGATTTGGATGGGAAAATCCTGACCTCTCGCCAATATATGAAGAGAGTGAAGACTTAGCCTCTACAATTGCTAAATTAAGGTATGACAATTTATTTAACTTTGAAATAATAAAGTATCTAATTATTATTGAATATTTAAGTTGAATAAAGGAATTTATGATTAACATTTCTCCCGTGAACTTTTCTTGTTCAAAGTGTGTTAACATGCAATTTTTAAGCCTTGTTCACAAACATCACACATTTGTAAATGTATGTATGCATTATGTCCTATATTAATCATGTCCTATGTCATATATTTTAATTTAAAACCACGGTGCCATAATTATTCTTGCTATTTATTTTTCTTTGCAAGTACAGTACAGTATTGCAGTATGTATTTGCTTACAAATTATGACCATGTTCAGAATTCATCAGCAGATGTTTAGAGGACAACTGTTTTCTCAGTGCTCGGCTTTTTCCTCATGTTAGCCCATTCTAATCTCCAAAATGTCGTAAATACTGTAATGCTTGTTGATGATCGGCAAATAAATATATTACGAAGGTACTGTACTATTGCTGTAACCATGCTATATGTGCACGCACGTGAATTTATCATAACACATAGTTGCAATAATTATGATTTTTTATTAGTTTGATTTGAAAATGGAATATTTCTAGCATGTGATTATTTTTCTCTATTCTCAAGTTTAACTTTTGTGTACTGTAATTACCTAAGTGTAGTTACAGGATGAGAGCTACGCTCGTGGTGTCCCGTCTTCCCAGCACTCTTTGTCATATAACGCTTTGAAACTACTGACGGTCTTGGCCTCCACCACCTTCTCACCTAACTTGTTCCAACCGTCTACCACTCTGTTTTTGAAAGTGAATTTTCTTATATTTCTTCGGCATCTGTGTTTAGCTAGTTTAAATCTATGACCTCTTGTTCTTAAAGTTCCAGGTCTCAGGAACTCTTCCCTATCAATTTTATCAATTCCTGTTACTATTTTGTATGTAGAGATTATATCACCTCTTTTTCTTGTCTTCTAGTTTTGACATATTTAATGCCTCTAACTGGCATTTCAGTTCTGGGAGCCACTTAGTAGCATGTCTTTGCACCTTTTCCAGTTTGTTGATGTGCTTCTTAAGATATGGGCACCACACAACCACTGCATATTCTAGCTTTGGCCTAATAAAAGTTGTGAACAATTTCTTTAGTATTTGCCATCCATGTATTTAAAAGCAATTCTGAAGTTAGAAAGCTCATAGGCTCCTCAGGTGATAGAATTCTATCTAGAACCACCCCTAGATCTCTTTCTGTATCAGAATTCTTTAAAGATTCCTCACATAATTTATAGGTTGTGTGGGGTCTATGTTCTCCTATTCCACATTCCATAACATGGCATTTATTCACATTAAATTCCATTTGCCAAGTGGTGCTCCATATACTTATTTTGTCCAGGTCTTCTTGAAGGGCATGACAATCATCTAAGTTTCTTATCCTTCCTATTATCTTAGCATCATCAGCAAACATGTTCATATAATTCTGTATTCCATCTGGTAGATCATTTATGTAGACAATGAACATCACTAGTGCAAGAACTGAACCCTGTGGTACTAAACTTGTGACATTTCTCCAGTCTGATACATTGCCTCTGATCACTGCCCTCATTTTTCTGTCAGTCAGAAAATTCTTCATCTATGTTAGAAGCTTACCTGTCACCTCTCCAATATTTTCCGGTTTCCAGAACAACCTCTTATGTGGAACTAGTCGAAAGCCTTTTTTAGGTCCAGATAGATGCAGTCAACCCAACCATCTCTTTCCTGTATAATCTCTGGAGCTCGATCATAGAAACTGAGTAAATTCGATACACAGGATCTTCCTGATTGAAAACCATATTGTCTGTCTGATATTATATCATTTCTCTTCAGGTGTTCTACCCATTTAGTTTTTATTATTTTTTCCAATATTTTAACTATTACACTTGTCAATGATACAGGTCTATAATTGAGGGGGTCTTCCCTGCTGCCACTTTTGTAGATGGAACTATGTTAGCCTTTTTTCCACACATCTGCTACAACTCCTGTACACAGGGATGTCTGAAAAATCAGCTGAAGTGGAATGCTGAGCTCAGGTGCACATTCTCTCAGAACCCATGGTGAAACTATATCTGGGCCAACTGCTTTGTTCTTACTTAGCTCCAGGTGCATTTGTTTCACTTCGTCTCTTGACATCTCTATGTGCTCTATGTTGTTCTCTGGAATTCTAATTGTGTCTGGTTCTCTGAAGATCTCATTTTATACAAACGCACTTTGGAACTTTTCGTTTGTTTCACACATTTCCTATTAATTTTCCATGTATCTGTCCTCCATTTTCAATCCCTGAATATTATCCTTTACCTGCAGCTTGCTTTTAATGAATTTATAGAAAAGGCCTTGATCTGATTTACATTTGTTTGCTATACCATTCTCAAAGTTCCTCTCTGTCTCTCTCCTTACTGATGTGTAGTTGTTTCTTGCATCTTTGTATCATTAGTATGTTTGGGGTTTGGCCTCTTTCTGTAATGATTCTATGCTTGTATCTTTTGATCTCTGGCCCTCTCGCAATTTCTGTTGAACCAACCCTGTTTCCTAGGTCTGCATGTCTGTTTTGGAATGAATGTTTGTGTGCCTTCGTCGTATATTTTGCAAAATTTGGCATACATCTCATTTACTACTTTTCCTAGCAACAAGTCTGTCAATTATACCCATGAAAACATGTCTTAAGTTCCCCATAGCGTCCTTTCTTGAAGTCAGGTTTAACAACTGTTTCACTGTCACCATTCTCTACTAGATTATATCGCATAGCGTATTTAATGTCCAAGAGGACGTGATCACTCTTTCCCAAGGGAGGAAGGTACTGGATGTCCAATACCTATTCTTCTTTGCTGATACCTCTTCTTCTTTGCTACCTACCTTGAGGCTACCTTGAGGTGCTTCCGGGGCTTAGTGTCCCCGCGGCCCGGTCGTCGACCAGGCCTCCTGGTTGCTGGACTGATCAACCAGGCTGTTAGACGCGGCTGCTATACTAGATCCAGTATTGACGGAACATCCCCTTCCCTCATTCTTGTGGCCTGCTTGACGTGTTGATACATGAATGTCTCTAAGATGAGGTTTACAAATCTGCCTGTTCAAATGTCCTCTGTTCTTGTCTCGTAGGCCTCCCAGGCTATTGCCTTAAAGTTGAAGTCCCCCAGTACCAGCAATCGGGATTTATCTTTGTCAGCTCTTACCATAATCTCTCTCATGACCATTATGATGCCCTCTCGTTTGTCATCCAGTTCTTCTTTTGTCCATGTGTTGCTTGCTGATGGACTGTAGGCATTTAAAATTATCAGCTTATCATCCTGATTCCAGACCTGCAATGCCATTATGTCAATATCTCGAGGCTTTTCAAATATTAACTTTTACCTTCAGGTGTTCTTTCACCAGCACAGCCACTCCTCCTCCCTTCCTAGTTTTCCTGTCATGTCAACAAACTGAGTAGCTCTTTGGGAATATGACCTCATTTAAAATATTTTCTTCAAGTTTTGTCTCTGTTAATGCAAGAATATCTGGGACTTCGAGCTGAATTATATCCTCTAACTCCTATGTTTTCGATTTCGCTCCATCTATGTTGGTATATACTATTTTCAGGAAAATGTTCCCCTTCCCTTTGTTCTTTACACCCCTTTCCTTTAATGATTTTGTTGCTTTGTCTTTATGTACCATTTCACAAGCTACCCAGTCCCTGACACTTTGTAGAAAAAAGAATTCCTTTCTTCTTCATTTCTATCCCCATTTAGACGTTTCACTGCAATGAGGTTCATTTTCAGCTTTTTTCTGTCCTCTTTTGAGAGGTCTTGTCTTATTGACCAAAGTTTGCCAGCCTCGTCACATTGCACTGGTCCTAGGACAGAGCCTTATGGTACACCACTTTCCACTCCTCTCCAACCTGACCTTTCCTCTCTGATTATGACCCATTGTTTCCGCTCCATCAGGTACTCCATTACCCAGTTCTAATAATTAAGTTTCCATGGTATGCCATTGTGAGAGATGGAGAAAAGGCTAACGGCACCATTAAACTATAAAGCTCACAAAATAGTTTAAAGATAAGGGTTAGTCTTTCATAAGTGATTTCCGGCGCATTGGTTTTCTTTTAACTCCGAGCTAATGTTTTGTATTGCTGCCAGAGTGATTAATGGCTTGAAATTAAGTTGAAAATGTTTGATTTTTTATTGCAGATCATTACTAAGTGAGAGGGAGAGCCAGCATAGCCTCGGTAGCCTCAGTTCTCACGGATCCAGTGAGAGCGAACCCAGATCTGCACAGTCCGACCCGGGAAGATATAATTTGGAAAAATCCCGTTTCACCTTCACTCATAAAGACAGTTCTGGCTCTTTGGGTTAGTTTGTCATCCAAATATAATACAATATTAACATTTGCAAACTGAATTATGTTATGGCCAGAGCTTATTCTTTTATTGTTAAGTTTGTTTACAGGTAAAATTATTCTTTGCATGAGAAGATGATGTGAAGTATGATCTCTCTCGCATTGTAGCTCATTCTGATTGTGTCATACTGTATGCTAAATTCTGTGCAGGGAAACATTGAGAACTAAATGACATAATGACTTCTTGCACTGTTTTATCACATCAGTTGATATACCAGTATGTTGGATGATAACTAACTCTACACGTAATTTTGTTTATATTTTCAGCTTCGGTAAAATCTGTGTCAAGTTTGGAATCGTGTGGAAATGGCACTGCAGATGAAGAGCTGTTAGAAGCAGCAGAGATACCTCTTGATGGCCGAGTGTTTCTCAGCGCAAGTGTTCCGTCAACGGAGGTGCATACTGAACCCGGAGGAACTCAATATACACTGTATACCATTCAGGTGAGCACATGTAACTGCACCTAAATTATCTTGCAGAGATTTATGATTTCTTTTCATTAAGTTACGTCTGCATAATTATTACATTGTAATTTTTAAAGCTGATGGTAAGTCCCTAACCAGTCTTGACTGGTACAACTTAATAATGGGTCCAGGATGGATTGAAACATCTTCACTTCCTTTATTTTCAGATTTGTGGGTTGTCAGATCTTAACCGTCACCATAATACATTCACTAACTCGTTGGTCTTTGTCTTGAAAACAATAATATAATAAATTTGTATGCAGAACATAATACAGTGATACAGTATTTAAAAAAGGGCACTAATATGCAAACATTTTGGTAATAATGATTATCAGTGCAGTAGATCTTGGAGTGGCCTTGTTAGTGCACAGTGTTCTGCAATGGGCAGCTTCCAGCTTATAGTAAGGCATCGGGGCTATCGACAAATAATTCCATTATCAGGGACAGGAAACCTGTACTTGTGCTTGTATAGAGGTCCCCACTAGGTCAATCCACTGACCCTCCCCAGGATGCAACCCACAACAGTTGCCTAACTCCCGAGTACTCATTTACTGTTGGTGAACGGACACGTCAGGTGATAGAAAACACACCTAACCATTTCTCTCCCATCCTGGGATCAAACCTGGGATCCCTGATTGTGAATCGTGAACGTAGACCACTGATTTACAGGACCCATAGAATTATGCTGATTGTTAGGGATGCAAATAAATTTACTGGAAAGTAATGTACAGTATATGCAGAACAAAATATCGGTATTGGAATACAGAATTGGCTGTTCCTACTTAAGAAAAGACATTATTTTGTTTCAGTATGATGCAATTTATCTGTGTGAGACGACCACAACAGTCCCACCTACTGAAGGTGGAGAGGAAGGAGCCAGTGAGCCAGTTGTCATCACTGAGCCACGCATGGTCCTCCAAACTAATTGTGTAAAAAGAAGGTAAGAGAGGAGTTGCAATACTTTAAAAGTCCGCTGTACGCTTTGGAAAGCCAGAGTGCACTCAAGTCTAATTTACACACTGCTAACTTAATTTATATTTTTTTAATTAGTCATTATAAAGTCTTAAGTTCTACATTTATACTTAAGATTTTCACTCTAAAGCATAGTACCCAAATAATAACACTGATATAGAATTTGCATAATTCAATCCCTCTGCAAACTCAATCCAATAATGCAATCGAACCATATTTCAGGTTCCGTGAGTTCCTAACACTGCATGCTGCCCTGGAAGACGATTCAAGATTACGGACTGCTATGAAGGGCGTCAAGGGACCTAACAAGTGGTTGAATTTACCGTTCAGCAAACTAGATTCTACCACTATTGCTACTCGTAAGCAGTTTCTGGAAAAATATCTTCAGGTGAGGTATCTGGTATATATCTAGATATGCATTATAGATATATATATATCTATAATGGTATGGTGTACATTATTATTATTATTATTATTAAAAATTGTTTTATTGGCAGCCACAAATGTTAGGTGCATTAAAATCGTTTTCTGGGTTGGCTTCCCTAAGCTTATTACAGCACATGAGAATGCCAAAGAAAACAGTGAAATTGTGATGCTACTGGTAACAAACTGAACGGGCCGAGCACTAGTAACATCATCACTTGCCCCTCATTGCTTCTAGGGAGCTCATGAGGATCATTTAAGTGTTTGAAGCATAGGTGAGACATGTGCTGTACATAAGTGACCTCATAAGAGCTAATGAGCCTTCTGCAATTTCCTTAATTCTTTCATTCTTATGTACTGTAGTGAGGTCAACTGCCAAGAAAAAGAAATGCCTGAAAAGCTGAACTCGTCAATAATGGTTGAACTCGCCAACCTATAGGGTGATTTCCAAATTAGGCTTATTGGTATTATTTCAATATTACTGTGTATACTAAACTCATGATACTACTTTGATCAATATCTAAAATGTAATATTTTGCCAACAGTCTGTTATACAACGGCCAGAGGTGAATATATCCACCCCAGTAAAGGAATTTTTGGCATATGGATTAGATTCATCTGTATCATTTGTGAAGAAGCCCCTTGAGTTGCATGTTCCCCGTTTGGACAAGGTAAATTGCATGCAAGTCACATTGTACACAAGATGCTTCACCAGTGAACTTTTAAACATACCTAAACTTATCCAACCTTAACTAACACAAAGTAATCTTCTGTTATATACACTACCACACTGCAGTGCTGGACTGACTTGGCATCGTTAATACTCGCTAATCTTATTTTACAACTTTTTTCATTATCTTCTGCCTTTAATATGTATTATTAAACAAAATTGTATTTGTTTTTAAATTTGGTTTATTGTAATTGAACTATATTAAAATACTGTAACTTAATACAATTAGTAAAGTGGGATTATGTTCGAATGGATTGTGATAAACCAGACCCTTTGTTTGGCCGTAAATAATTGGGTAAGGGACAAACTCTTGGTGCAGCAGGACGTGGTGTCCTGCCCCACCAAGCAGGAACAAGTACGGACCACAAATTAAGATTGTGAGTCGAGAACAAACTCGGCTGTTTAGAAGGACTAACATAATTCCTGAAGACGGTGGTGGTAAACCATAAATTAAACTGAGATTATGCCTCTACATTTGTTGTCTGTTCTGTCTTGAAATCAAATAAATACAGTATGTCACACTAAGGCTACAGAAAAACACATTCATTTTGAAGTGTGTGTGGTAATGCTGTACATATTTTTGTATATATACCATAACCTTTATCTTTGTCGATCTTTGATTTTGTAAACTATATTTGAATGTTTCTGTCTTTTCCAGCTATTGGCTAAGACTGTATCAGGTGTGTTTCATAGCTTGAAAACAGCTCTGCCTAGCTTTGAATCATCAGATAATCCAGCTGGAGGGAGTGAAGCAATACCCGCCACTGAAGGAATGTGCGGGGGCAGTGGTGGCGACGTTCTTTTGAAGAGCAGGTCAGCAGGCGGCGTGCTCACCGAACGTAACAAGCTGGCTTCGTTTCTTTCCATTGGTAACAAGGCAGAATATGAGCTTAAACTTGATATTACAGCTGAGGAAGAGGTAAATAATGGTTTTTAAAGTTATTTGCAAATTTTGTGTTAGCAATTGCAACGTTAATATACTATTCTGAATAAAGCATTTTTTTTACTGTATATGATTGAACTATGTTTATGTAACAGATGCAAGACAGCCTATTTTTCAGGTTTAAATATGCAACATATGATACACTGTACGATGCAGATAGGTTGTGTGACTATATATTTATAAGTACTGTACTGTATACTATATATATAAAAGAATTGTTTTAACTTTTTCAGGTGTGCCAAATTGAAGAGGCCTTAACATTAGAGGTACTTGGATCGGCTAAGGATGAACTGGTAGACACGGCTTATGAGGCACGAGAAAACCGCAATCTCTTTTCCCCGTTACCATACACACACTCCCAATACCAGAGTCAGCTGGAGCAGCAGCACCACCAGCAGCAGCTGCACCAGAAACACCAACACTCGGTGGTGGTTGGAAGAGGCAGCTCTGGTGCAGGGAGTGGAGTCTGTCCTTTATACTCTCCTAGTTCTCCCTCCCATCAACCTCCTCATGAACCAAGATCTGAAGCAGATGGCTGTGATGTTGATGCTCTGTCACGACGTGACAGTCACCGCGATTCTTTAAATGGCATGTACTACTATATTTTTTTTCCAAGGATATGAGTCTTACAAAAATGACTTTTTTAGGTGAAAGTGGAAGATGATTGATAGTTCATACAATTAAATGCAGTAGTGCAAATACGAGTAAAAGGCTTGTCAAAAGTTAGGCCATAGCTCTCTTAATATTGTACTGTAGTTACCTGAATATACCGGAAGACCCCCAGGGACAGAAGCTGATGGCTTGCCAAAGGTACCCCCCTTTGTATAGATGTAATGAAACAGATCAAAGAGAAGAAATAGGTAACCACTAACCATAGAGCAATGGCAACCATATGGACATTTTTTTTAGGGTAAATATGCAGAAGATTTATGAAAATGAGTTTAAATCAAAATTATTCAACAATTTCACCTTTATCATTACAGTACTGTATATTTGGGGAAAACAAGCTTTTAATTAAATTCAAATATCTTGTTTACAGTACATGGTTTAAGAGTCCGTAATAAATATATATATATACACAGTACAAAGTAATGAAGAAATATAGATGCTGTCAGAACTTTGGCATATAATAAAATAAGAGACTGTGTCCAAGAAACTGGAGATGAATATGGGGTCACCAGTTTTTGAGTGACAAACACATGATAATAGCAGGATAAATAATAAATGTTAAAAGATATTAATTTAAAGAACCGATAAGAAAACGCTTGATAACATTTGTGTGTGTGTGTACATTTTCAATACTCTTCCAACAGAGGAAGAAGTTGGTGGATCGTGGGAGCATTGGCCATTGTCTTGTGGCCTCTTGGATGCTTTAGTGGAGGTGCTCTCTCCCTGCGACCACCCGCTCACTCACCAGCCGTGCGTCACTCTGCTCACTCTCACGCTCGCCACCATCACCCAAAAATGGCTAAAGGTATTTCAGCTATTCATATAATGTGGTAAAGATGTAATATGCTTAAGAACAGTTAATGGAAATGGGGAAGAGTTATGCAGGTGCATGCCATATGCCAACTTCTCGGTTTCCAATTTTATGTTCAATTTTTGCACTAATGGAGACCTTTATTTGCTATTTTCTGATAAGTTTCTACCAATTAAAATCACTTTTATAATTATGAATGTATCCCTGTTGTAATCCCTGAATATACTCTTAGATACAGCTCTGGTATATTCCTAGTTCCCAAAACTAGCGTATACAGTACCTAGTTCCCAAAACTAGCGTATTCCTAGTTCCCAAAATCAGTATATTCCTAGTTCCCAAAACTAGCGTATACCTAGTTCCCAAAACTAGCATATTCCTAGTTCCCAAAATCAGTATATTCCTAGTTCCCAAAACTAGCGTATTCCTAGTTCCCAAAACTAGCATATTCCTAGTTCCCAAAATCATTATATTCCTAGTTCCCAAGACCAGTGTATTCCTAGTTCCCAAAACCAGTGTATTCCTAGTTCCCAAAACCAGTGTATTCCTAGTTCCCAAGACCAGTGTATTCCTAGTTCCCAAGACCAGTGTATTCCTAGTTCCCAAAACTAGCGTATTCCTAGTTCCCAAAACCAGCACATTGCTTATTCCTAGTTCCCAAAACCAGCACATTCCTAGTTCCCAAAACTAGCGTATTCCTAGTTCCCAAAACCAGCACATTCCTAGTTCCCAAAACTAGCGTATTCCTAGTTCCCAAAACTAGCGTATTCCTAGTTCCCAAAACTAGCGTATTCCTAGTTCCCAAAACCAGTGTATTCCTAGTTCCCAAAACCAGTGTATTCCTAGTTCCCAAAACCAGCGTATTCCTAGTTCCCAAGACCAGTGTATTCCTAGTTCCCAAAACCAGTGTATTCCTAGTTCCCAAAACCAGTGTATTCCTAGTTCCCAAGACCAGTGTATTCCTAGTTCCCAAGACCAGTGTATTCCTAGTTCCCAAAACCAGTGTATTCCTAGTTCCCAAAACCAGTGTATTCCTAGTTCTCAAAACCAGTGTATTCCTAGTTCTCAAAACCAGTGTATTCCTAGTTCCCAAAACCAGTGTATTCCTAGTTCTCAAAACCAGTGTATTCCTAGTTCCCAAAACTAGCGTATTCCTAGTTCCCAAAACCAGTGTATTCCTAGTTCTCAAAACCAGTGTATTCCTAGTTCCCAAAACCAGCACATTCCTAGTTCCCAAAACCAATGTATTCATAGTTCCCAAAACCAGCGCATTCCTAGTTCCCAAAACCAGCGTATTCCTAGTTCCCAAAACCCAATTCCATTTTTTTTTCCAGTAATATTCAATGGTGTGTAGTGTGATATATTTATATAATGTGTGAACCATCGATATACTCAAAAGTATGGTGTGTATATTAATGATTCAATGATTATGTTCATAAAATAAACAAATAGTTTTGCTGTTATTACACTATATACTCACACACACTTTATATATACAGTAAGTATCTGCATGTTTTGTTCACCATAGCGAACCACTAAGTTGGTATTGTATGGTGAGCCCAAACAACAAGAGTGGGCTGCCACACCCAGCCAGCCCTCCCTCCCTCCCTTCTTCAACACCTTACTTACAGGGAGCCAGCCGGCCGAGCGGACAGCACGCTGTACACGTGATCCTGTGGTCCCGGGTTCCATCCCGGCCGACGGCGAGAAACGATGGGCAGAGTTTCTTTCACCCTATGCCCCTGTTACCTAGCAGTAAATAGGTACCTGGGAGTTAGTCAGTTGTCACGGGCTGTTTCCTGAGGGTGGAGGCCTGGTCGAGGACCGGGCCGTGGGGACACTGAAGCCCCAAAATCAACTCAAGATAAGCTCAAGATTACTTGCCAATATTCTTCCTCCCACAATACTGTTTGTGGTTTCATTACACTATGTACACACATTATATATAAATATCTACACGTTTTATTCCCCATAACTGTACAACTAACACTTTTGCTCAGTAATGATGCAGTATGGCGTAAAAAATTTATTAGACAAATTTGCGGTAATGACGCAGTATGGTGTTAAAAATTAAAAAAATTTGGCCTGCTTTTGGCTTGGCTGTGGGTGGGGTGCACCGCAGTTTTGGACATTATATGCCTATACTCTTGTAGGGAATTTTATTGCTAACACATTGATACCAAAAGGAAAGACCTAGGATGAGAATTGAGGTGACAAAGTTGAAAAAGAGTATACACATTTCATTGTTCTTGAGCACTCATGGGTAATGCACTGTCACTTTCTCTGTTTGTTGTAATTACCTAAGTGTAGTTACAGGATGAGAGCTACGCTCGTGTCCCGTCTTCCCAGCACTCTTTGTCATATAACGCTTTGAAACTACTGACGGTCTTGGCCTCCACCACCTTCTCCCCTAACTTGTTCCAACCGTCTACCACTCTGTTTGCCAAAGTGAATTTTCTTATATTTCTTCGGCATCTGTGTTTAGCTAGTTTATATCTATGACCTCTTGTTCTTAAAGTTCCAGGTCTCGGGAAATCTTCCCTATCGATTTTATCAATTCCTGTTACTATTTTGTATGTAGTGATCATATCACCTCTTTTTCTTCTGTCTTCTAGTTTTGGCATATTTAATGCCTCTAACCTCTCCTCGTAGCTCTTGCCTTTCAGTTCTGGGAGCCACTTAGTAGCATGTCTTTGCACCTTTTCCAGTTTGTTGATGTGCTTTTTAAGATATGGGAACCACACAACTGTTGCATATTCTAGCTTTGGCCTAACAAAAGTCGTGAACAATTTCTTTAGTATATCGTCATCCATGTATTTAAAAGCAATTCTGAAGTTAGAAAGCGTAGCATAGGCTCCTTGCACAATATTCTTTATGTGGTCCTCAGGTGATAGTTTTCTATCTAGAACCACCCCTAGATCTCTTTCTTTATCAGACTTCTTTAAAGATTTCTCACATAATATATAGTGGGTGCTATGCTGTGCTTTTGGACTTTATAAGCATGTACTCCTGTAGGGAATTCTATTGCAAACACATTGATACCAAATTGAAATACTTAGGACGAGAATTGAGATGACAAAGTTGAAGAGAGTATACACATTGCGGTTCAGTATTACTGCACGCTCCCGAGAAATGCCCGGCGCACCTTGGGGGGTGATCTGTCACTCGCTCGTCCAAAGCACGAAAGTGCTACCTACGCTGGTATTGTGTCCAAACAGCATAGTGGCCACCATACACTACATGACAAGTCACACACCAACCAGCAGATGACAGCCTCACTCCCTCCCTCACCAACAGCTCCCTCACCAAAATGGCTCCTCCCAACATACCCCTTTTGCTGTTATTACACTATAATAGTAGGCATCCATCGGTCTCGGGAGCCTATTGAGTTGCGCTCTGGTTGTCGGTCTGGAGTGGTCTCTCCAGGGCACAAAGCCAGGGAAGGTCGATAAGGAGAAGCTGTTACCCAAGCAACAGGTCCCCCTCTCCACGGCCCTGAAAGTCTCCAATGGAAAGGCAAATGCCAATACGATTGGTTTCAGCGCCATCGCAGAAACTGTCAGAACGAGGTTGAAGGCAACAACGAACTGCCCAAGGGGCTCCAGCTCTGGAGTTTACCTCAAGGTTGGTAAAAGAAGGCATAGGGGCCCCAAACCCGGAGACCGCTGTGGTCGGGGCATGGAGAAGAACTTCCCCAGCCTGGACAAGAATGACCCCAGCCTCCTGAAGGAGAGCTTGGGCCGCACGAGCTCCAGGAGGTGGACGTCTGAGTCTTGCACCTACGGGGTTCCAGACAAAGCTCATCACAGCTCCCTTTCACCCGAGGCCAGCTTCCTTCATGACCCAGCAGAAGGAAGTGTAATAATTATTGATTACAAAAATTATTATTACAGTATAATTATTATTATAATATAGTTAATTAATAATTACTTACTATATACATATGTTATATACAGTATAAGTACTGTATCTACATTTATGTTCACCATAGCGAACCACTAAGCTGGTATGGTGAGTCTAGACAATAACAGGTCGCCACACACAGTCAGCAGACGACGCTACCTCTCCCTCCCTTCCTCACCAAGATTACTCCTCCCACCGTACTACGCACATCACTAATTCTCACCACAATCCTGCTATTATCAGAATCCTGGTCACTAAATTCTGTAAATGAATAATTTTCCATAAGTTTATTTTGTAAAGGAACATGAGAAGTTGTTAGATGGACGAAACAATGGCAGTGTGCTGTGGCTAGCACTTTGAACATCTTGAACAGCATTGTGTTTACTGATATCTGAACATTATACACAGTCTTTATCACAGTCAGGCTCTTTTATAATACTATCATGGCTAAACAATACCAGTTACATATATATTTTGACTTTTTAGGCGATGCTGTGGTTATAAGCTGAACAGCAGTGCTGTTAGCTCATGCTGCATGCGCCAGCCTTGGTTGCTCACTCAGTACTGAGGCTCTCTCACTCAGGAATGTTGCCCACGATTTTTTGTTAATGGTGTCTGTTTACAAGAGCCCTGAGAAAGCTGATGTGAACCCTGTGTAGCCACGGGACTTTTAAATCGTAAACGGTACTCCCAGCCATTCAGAGCTGTGTTGTTGTCCTGCAATAGTTACTCACCCCAGCTATAAATGTATTGTGCCCTTTAATTGCTAATGTGTACTTGCAGTTCAATATTTTTTAATGATTTGTTTATATTTCAGGCTGAATTGGAGCGTCTCTTTTGTGAAAGCTACACAGTAGAGTATATTCAAAGCTTGAGAGAAGCCATATTAACTTATTCTGATGCTCCACGACCTCAGGCTTCCCCGGAGGATGTGGTAAAGTCACGTGTTAAATTACAGGAAGCGTTAAAGGATTTCATACCAGGTAAGTCAGAAAGAAAGTTTACTTACAGGGAAAAATATTAAAGGTTGTTTTTTCTGACAAGAATTATTAGATATACTTAGGAGATTTTACAAGCATATTTATACCCATATCCCATTTACATTTTAAACTTCTTCAAAATCTACCATGTTAATTATTCACCATCTCTTAAGTAAATTTACTGGATATGGAATTGCTGTCACTGGAGAAAGTGCCAGGTGGTGATAGCAGTGTGCAGTTCAAACACCAAGTTGGAAGAAGACATTATTTCTATATAATCTTTAATGCTGAGGAAAAATAAAAAAAAAATATTTCTTTGAGTAGCCTTTACTCATAATGCTGCACAGGTTTCAATGTTTAGTTTTGTATGAAACTTCACACACGTTCCCACAATTTTCCGGCAAAATACCATTTTGGAAGGCATTCTGGAAAATCTTATGTGTGCACTTTATTCCATTTTCACTTTCTTCATAATGAATTGTGATCTACTGTGGAGGGAAGGTTTGACTGCATTAAATGAACAAATCCACAAGGGCCGTGACGAGGATTCGAACGTGGATTCGATACATTTTGATGTATCACGTTAGTGTGATCTCTGTGTGTTTGGCTGCATTGTTCTCTTGACTGCCATGACTGGTCCAACCCTGGGCCAGGACTCATGATGCAGTTACACATACACTTATGAAGCCTGTAAATCTTTGCTCGGTTAGGATGGCTTTACTTACATTTATTAATAATATTATAAGCTTAGAATCTTTGCAACTCAAGGTTATTATCATTATAAATAGCCTTAGAGTTCATAATTTGTTTCATATATGTAAAGAACCCCACCATGGTTGTTGAAAGATGGACAGGTTTCATAAGTGGTTGCATAAATGGTTGACGAGTACTGGCCCTGGGGCCAGATTAATGAAGCGGTTTCGCAAGTACTTAGGAACATGTACATCTTTCCTCAATCTTTGACGCTTTGGTTACATTTATTAAACAGTTTACAAGCATGAAAACGTCCCAGTCAACTGTTGCTATTATTATAAACAGCCTCCTGGTGCTTCGGAGTTCATTAACGGTTTAATAATTGTAAACAAAGCTGCCAACGATTGAGAAAAGATGTTCAGGTTCGTAAGTACTTGCATAACTGCTTCGTGAATCTGGCCCCCTGGTTTCCAGCTCATTTTTTATTTCCCTCATCCTGTGTTGTTTGTGAGGCTGTCTCTGCCAGAGGCTCAGTGGGCCAGACCTATTGGGAACTGGGGTAATGATAAGGAATGAATGAATTACTAATACTAAGGCCAACAGCAAAACATAACTAAAATGCACTCATGCTTAGACAAACAAATTCCACAACAGACTTAAACCCTTAAGGACACGCTCACTTACATAAACCCACTGATACTCTACACAGTGTACATGTCTGTATGTTTCAAAAGTTATGGAAAGGGATGCAGATACTTCTTTTGAACATTCATTAGTACACATTCAGTATTTAGGTCTTTAAATGATCCTCAATTACTTCCAAGGTGCGTTGAAAATGGCTCTAGGAACAGAACTGACGCATCAAGCAGTTGCAAGAATAGTGGATTCGGTGCAGCATCCCACAGTGATGGGTGACCTTGCTCTCCACCTGCTTGACTTGCTAGCCACGCAGCTACTTCCCATCACACCCTCAACACCATGAAGGTACCACTGCCAATGCTGCCTGTCATGTCAAAATATATACCAATGAATGTAGTCATTACTGACTTAACCTTTATATATTTCTCAATCTTGAAATTGTATTTTGTTTACAGACAATATTAATATTTCCCCTATGACATGCCAGTAAATTTGTGATATGGTTGTAAAATAGATTAATAAATTATTAATAAATAATATATATATAATATATATAATATATATAAAATATACATACACATACATACACCGTGGGACTTGCTCGAAGGGACTGATTGACTAATGGACCTGTTCCATTACACCAAGGATTCCAGTCTATGAATAGTAACTCTTTTTTTTTTAGCCATTTCTTGCAAAACAAAAATTAAGGTCATAAATGATAGAATGCATCTTTGTGCATAATAAACAACAAAATTATATACCCAAAATTATTTTTAAATGTGCGTGAATTTAAAATAAGGAAAGAAAAGATAGAAAATTTATACAAAAAAATGATTGACTATATTTTTTTACTTACCGCTGAGAAGAGCTTATTTTTTCCTTGTACAAAACTGCCATACTATGCTGCTACATAACCATATGTATGATGCCTCCTGTAAATTGTATGCTTTGGTTTCCTTAAGTGTTTTTCACTTTGAATTACAGTATTGTCAGCCGTTCTTTCTCACGTAACACTTTCAGGCTTGCTCAGGATTTTTCTGTTTTTGTTTTTCCCATGTTAAGATGCCTTTTTTGTTTTGTTTTGCCTAACTGGTTTAGTCTAAATATTGCTGCTAGTAGACATCTTTTCAACTCGAGTAATGAAACGACTAAAGAAAAATGATTGCAAGTCACCTAGGATCACGAGGTCAGGCCACATAATTGCAGATGGAGAAGCAACTGGCCAGGAGAGAACCAGTTAAGAAAGGGCTACGTTCAGTGCAGATCAAAAGTAGCATTGTTTACTAAGTTTCACAATTGTTCACAAATTTTACAAAGACTGCCTGGTGGATTGAACAACATAAATTACGATTCACCAAGAATTTAGTCATTAGCATGAATTCTATCCAGTTTATCATTGTTCCAGTTCAATTTGATCTGTTTCAGGTAGGTCCTACTATATATATATATATGTATGTACAGTATGTATGTGTGTGTCATACCTAATAGCCAGAACTGCTTTACTTGGCCTAGTAAGCAAGGTGCCCATTTTGCCTAACAACCAGTTCAGTTTTTCCTATTTTCAAATTTTTCTTCGTAAATTAGTTCACCCCCAAAAATGTTGCCAGGCACCAATTTCTAACTTGGGTCTAGTGTTACCTATGTTAGGCAATACACTATTGAGAAATAAATGGCATATTTGTTAGGTCAAGTTTCTAAGATAGATCTGCCCCATATTAAAAAAATATCTCTATTAAGTAAATTTAAAGAAAATTATTAAACAAATTTATATTTAAGGAAATTTGGCTTGTTAGGTAACTGTGCCTATTAGATTTGACGTGTGTACATTTATATTCAAGTAGTAATATTTATAATTTCTTATAATTGACACTCAATCATTTTGTTATTACCTGGAGCAGATTTTTGTAGTGCTCAATACTCTTGTTCTGGGTAAGTCCAGTTTTGTGATGAGGCATCTCACCAAACTTAATTCCCATTTTTGATCTCAGGAATAATCCTTTATTGCTTAGAATTTTGGCCATATTTTCAATACAGTATATCTAAATGGGATAAAAGATTTCTTCTGGTTCATTCATTGGATAACAAAATATGAAAATAGTTGCAGTTTTTTTTTTTAACAATAGCGACTTAATATTTTATTTTAGCTCAAATACAAATATACTTTACAGTGATATATTCCCCAGAAATTGGGTTGTTAGGTTACTAGATAATTTTATGCAAGTTTTTTTTATAGTCAATTGCTTTTTTAAGGCCAGATATGGCTAACACTTGTTGACATTAACTTTTTATGGCTGGAATTTAAACAGCCATTTTTTCTAACTAATTGAGGTCAAGGGAATTATTTTGGGACTTAAAGAACTGTAAACACACACACATGTTGTATCGTACGATTGTTATGCTTTAGTCTGTCAGGTACAAGACTACATTGTCATTTATATCAGGTTCAACTGCTGTAAGGCTTTTTAAACCACCAGTTTGGGGGAAATATTCTTCAATAAAAATGGTTGAAAATTAGAAATAATGTCACGTGTTAATTGTTGCTCAATTTTAACAAAATTGCATTAAAATGATAGTGATTATTTTTATGGAATACAGTGCTATGCTTGATTCACAACTCTGGAATGCAAGATAGTAAGTTAATGCTGAGTTACCAAAGACAGACATGAAATATGATAAAGCTGCTATCAAACTTAATTTGATATAGGCCAGTATTATAGACAGAAGTACATGTGGCTTTATTTACTTATTTTTAATGTTAATGCTAGTGCAGAATTCACTGCACCCATCCTGAACGCACAACCCAGTGGGCATTTTCGGTGGCTTTAACATTGGTCTGACATCGTCCACTGATGACGCTTGATGGTAAAGCAAAGAAAAATACCCAGTGGAAAGTGACACCAATGTCACATGCAGATAGTAACTTTGCTAATACATAATAATAATAATAATAATAATAATAATAGTGTTACACACAGAAATCACAGTAGCGTGATATATCAAATGAACAAATCCACAAGGGCCGTGATGAAGGTTCGAACCTACGCATGGGATATTCACAGATGCACCTTAGTCAACCGTACCACGACACGGTAAAATACTTGCAACCTGGAGTGCTACTGCCCTCATGAGGATTCCGAAGCTTCTCTAAAGCACAATCGGGGTTTCACACAATTTCCCCCATGCACCAAATTTCCCCCTCTGTCAACCAAATGTTCTCCCTCTTCACCCTTACTTCACTACACACAGAAATCTCAATAGCGTGATGTATTAAAGGAACCAATGTGGATTTATTCATTTAATAATAGTGTTGTTTTGACGTGTGTGTTTTACTTTCCAAGCCAAATCTGAACTTAGATATTACAATGCATGCTGCTTCTAATGGTTTGACTCGTATTATACCTGTTGCTACTGTTGTTGCTCCCTCATTATTGCTCTCTCATTCCTCATTACTTTTCCCTCACTCTTTTATCCGCATTGCTGCTACTACTTTCCCTTACTCTTTTATCCCCATTGCTGCTACTACTTTCCCTTACTCTTTTATCCGCATTGCTGTTACTACTATCTCCTCACCACTGATACTTTCTCCCCGCTACTACTCCCCCCCCCCCCCACTGCTCCTTTCTCCTCGGTAATGCTCCTTTTCCCCTCATTACTACTCCTTTCTCTTTGTTCCCCTTCCACTTTGTGCCTTATGTGCTGTCCTTTAACTATATTACTGATGAACATCTGATTCAAATATTTTCATAATTACTTATTTCCCTTGGTTCCAACCACTTGGGCTGGACGGTAGAGCGACGGTCTCGCTTCATGCAGGTCAGCGTTCAATCCCCGACTGTCCATGTGGTTGGGCACCATTCCTTTCCCCCCGTTCCATCCCCAATCCTTATCCCGATCCCTTCCAAGTGCTATATAGTTGTAATGGCGGTTCCCCCTGATAATTACATCAATTTTCAGTTGTACTCTACAATTGTTAGTTGCATATACTCGGTATTATTTATGGAATATTTCAGCATTCCTGTTACAGTACTTAATTCAAGAATTAGTCTTTATAAAAAAAAAGCTTGATCTCAGAATACTTTTAGTCTTCCTGCATGCTTTCACACTGCCAATAGTCTTTTGCCAATATAGTCCTAATTTTATAAGATATGGATATTCCTTAATTTTTTCACAAAATTTACTTTACTATTAGTTTTATAAAGTCATGTGCCTTACTATCTAAACTGGATTGTTGTGTTTACAATCACACATTGCTTCATAGAATGTCCTGATTGTTCAGGATTGGAAATGTTGCTGTGGCAGTGTCTGTCTTGGTTCATTTGACCCTCCTTTAAATCCTCGGTAAGTGTGACATCTTTGACGTGTTGCGTCTTGTGGGCAGTTGTGCTTGTACTGATACCTTGAATGATATTTAGGGATTTTGACTATTAGATGCCACAGGCAGTCTAAATTGTCTACTAGGCTTGGTGCCGCCTTTGTAAATTTAATTGTTTACTTCGTGGCCTTTCATAGAATCATCACTGAAGCAGGTCTTAAAATATTTGCCGATATTGCCCGTGTTGCTTGGCAGTCATACAGCGGAGCAGTAACCATTTCCTTTCACTTGAGTTTTTTGTGTGATGAATCCATATTTCTCATTCATATTTTCCTCATCCTTTAACAATTTTGTTTAGTTGAAAAGTTTGCATGATTTTTGCTTCTTAGTAATCTATCTTATTGTTTATCATATACAGTATATGGTTCCTGCTCAGTATCTATCTCAGACTTTATTGAACAGTGTTCCTAATTATTTCCATTGAGAAAATTTAGCCATGTGCTTGACTCTCTTTTATAAGAAAATTGAACAGTATTCCTAATTCTTTCAAACAATTGAGCCACATGTAGTTATTTGTCTAGATGTATTAAGAGACTTTAGGGAATTTTGTAGAAGCTTTAGAGACAAGCAAGAATTGATAAGACACTCTTACTGTATAATAAGAATATTAGTTTAGTTTAGTTTGTCTTTCATTAGAAGTTATGTTTTCTTTTTAAGAGGGATTGGCGAACACATTCCATACTTTAGGAAAATAAGGTCTTAGATATGTAATATATTTTTGTTGGCTAATTTTTCTATTGACTTTTATTTTGCCATATGTGTAAAATTTATTTTTCATTTACAAGTCCATTTGTGAATGTATTGTTGATTACAAAAAGTTAATTATGACAGTTTTGAATCCTAGTATATATAGAAGAGGTAAGAAAGTGTCAAGAAAATTATGCAATTAGAAAAATATTAAAACCTTCCAAGGAAGTTATTAACAAAATATATTTTATGGTGTGGAGTGACTGATAGTGAGATTTGACTCATTTAAATAACAAAAAATCATTGTATCAATGAATTTATAATCGGTAAAAATTATTTGCCTAAATGCTGTATAAGTTATTGTTTGGAAACACACAGGAATGCTGGAAAGAAAATTGGAATACTGTCTATGCTCGGCAGTCCAAATTTTATTGGACATGCTCGCATATACATTTGCCAAATGTTTGTCTTGGCCTAATTTTTTTTTACCATGAATGTCCAAAAAACAAACATTCACAATTTTTTGTTCCACACCTTCAAAACCCCCGCTGGTTACTCAAACACAAATTCCTTCAGGTTACCCAAAGATTGGTGTTGCTGGAATTTGACTGACCAAACTCTTATAATAGTGATGGTAAAGGATACAGTCGTTATAATAAGTACTGTTAGTGTCCTTTGGACTGTTAGATAAATGTGTGATAGAAGCATTATGTACAAAGTAGAATACTGCAGTGTCTAGTGATGTATTATTAATGTTTTCACATGTAATGTTGAATATGTAAAATACAATTGTATATTTTTGTGTACATGTAAATTTTAGTCTTAAAATCTGAACACAGGTAATAATCCTTGGCAATATGTAATAATCTCCTACAATAATACATCTTGTATAGACTGTATATGTCTATGCATATACAGTGTGTGTATGTATATATATATAATATATACACTGTATATGCATATATACATACTGCACATACAGAGGGGGTTCCTCCACTGGTGCAACTGTGGGGATGCATAGCCTTGGAGAAGAGAATAAACGGTATTCAGAAAAGGCCTTTCAGATTTCTCCCTGGAAACGTGTTTGTGTATTTTCTTCTACCACCCCAATTTATTACTCTATATTATATATACAGTAATATATAAATATATATATACAGTATATATATATATATATATATATATATATATATATATATATATATATATATATATATATATATATATATATATATGTCGTACCTAGTAGCCAGAATGCACTTCTCGGCCTACTATGCAAGGCCCGATTTGCCTAATAAGCCAAGTTTTCCAGAATTAATTTATTATCTCTAATTTTTTTCTTATAAAATGATAAAGCTACCCATTTCATTATGTATGAGGTCAATTTTTTTTTATTGGAGTTAAAATTAACGTAGTTATATGACCGAACCTAACTAACCCTACCTTACCTAACCTATCTTTATAGGTTAGGTTAGGTAGCAGAAAAAGTTAGGTTAGGTAGGTTAGGTAGTCGAAAAAACATTAAATCATGAAAACTTGGCTTATTAGGCAAATCGGGCCTTGCATAGTAGGCTGAGAAGTGCGTTCTAGCTACTAGATACGACATTATATATATATATATATATATATATACAAAATACATTATATATAATGTATATAATAATCTGTATACTGGCCTGGTAACAAGGCCAGTTTTGCCTAACAGTCAAGAGTGATTTTGCACTCAACTAAAACAGTTTAAATCAAGTTAAAATCAAAAGTTAACCATTAGTTAAAATAATTGAAAATCATTTTTTTGGGGGCAAAAATTGGCTTGTTAGGCAACTGTGGTCACGGATAACTCACTTTTGTGGATACGGTAGATAAATCACTGAAATCAAACAAATTCGGTAAATAAATACTTTTTACTTACTTTGTGTTTATGGGTCCTTTGAGAAGATGTCATGGTTATAGATGCTGGGAGAAATAATACTGGTGAGAAGCCATGATACTAGTTCACTGGAACCCAAGAGTTAAGTGTTGTGCGCCAAGGAGTTGCTATCCACACTACGTGAATGTGGGAGTATAATCGCAGTGTGTGATTATATAACAGCATGTCCTGTGTGCTGTCAAGTTTGTGAATCCAGGGTTATGTAGGCATCTGTTAATTGGGCATAAACACCTGTGTATCAATGTGTGTGTATATACATATATATATATATATATATATGTTGTACCTAATAGCCGGAACTGTGCTACTTGGCCTAGTAAGCAAGATTTGATTTACCTAACAGGGCAGAGCCATTTTCATTAATTTTCAAATATTTCTTTCCAGATTGGTTCTTTCCTAACAATATTAATCAATTTGAAACATGAATTACAGTATGCCAGGTTAGGTTAGGTTTGATCAAATTTCTATGCAAGTTTTGATTCATGTTAAAAAAAATTAAATCTCAAAATGTTGTGGAAAGCTTTTATCATTCCATAAGAAAATTTTATTGAAAAATGTAATATTTCATGAAAATTCGACTTGTTAGGCAACTTGACCTATTAGGAATGACATACTCGTACATACACTCACTCACTCACTCATACACTCACTCAATCTACTCTGAGTTAGTGGTAGACGGTTGGAACAAGTTAAGTGAGAACGTGGAGGAGGCCCAAAACTGTCAGAAGTGTCAAAGCATCATATGACAAAGTGCTGGGAAGATGGGACACCACGAACGTGGCTCTCGTCCTGTGACTACACTTCCCGAAAGGGCCTAGTAACCAGGTAAACTTGCCAGTCGAGAGATAAGAGATGTGCAAGTTTCTGAGGCTAAGCTCTTGCAAATGCAGATATGGGAGACTGCGCGCGCGCGCACACACACACACGCGCGCACACACACGCACACACACACACACACACACACACACACACACACACACACACACACACACACACACACACACACACACACACACACACACACACACACACACACACACACACACACACACACACACACACACACACACACACACACACACACACACACACACACACACACACACACACACACACACACACACACACACACACACACACACACACACACACACACACACACACACACACACACACACACACACACACACACACACACACACACACACACACACACACACACACACACACACACACACACACACACACACACACACACACACACACACACACACACACACACACACACACACACACACACACACACACACACACACACACACACACACACACACACACACACACACACACACACACACACACACACACACACACACACACACACACACACACACACACACACACACACACACACACACACACACACACACATTGATGGTATATTTAGTAGATATTGTAGGAGTTATATTTTATAGAGAAGTGCGGGATTATATAAGGATTTTGTTGCCTATGTAATATAATGATGTATTGTGTGTAGAGTAAATGTGTCGTGTTTGTATTTGTAAAATAGCAGCGTGACTTTATTGAGAGTTTAGGTATGAAACTAATAGTTTTATCAAAAATATATGGATTCAATTTTTACTCGTGAATGAAAACTTTACGAACAAAGTCCAATAAGGTTCGTTATTCGCCAAGAAGATATTTTATGAGTATGATGATAAGGGCACATGATTTTTTGCTTAAGAATCATTTTTGTTGTTTTTGTTATTCCTATGGATTGAGATGATTGGCACACCTTGTTCGTCTGGATGTCTAGTTTAGTGCAAGTTTAATGATTGTGATTTTATCCAGAGGATTTTAAACTAATTTTTATTTCCTTTTGTCATTGTAGAATAGTTAAATACAGTAAGTCTAAACATTTATTACTGTATTAGTTTTATAAGACAAATATTGTATATAGAGCTTGAATATTCATATACAGTACTTTCTAGTGTTATAAGAAGTACATTGAAGGTTTAAGACATGCATATTTGCTGTTCATTTACCAATATTATTTAAATGTAACTACTGGTTCTATGATGATTGCTTGGACGTTATGTGCATATGAAGAATGAATAACAAATACAGAATTTTCTGTGGTTTGAGGAATGCGGTGTGTGATAAGTACAGTATTAAACTGCAGGTTTAAAAATAACTTTTGCGGCAGTATAGTCGCTAGATAGGTTACTCTTGTGCACAAGTCATGTTTTATTTCTTTATACTTGTTACAAGAAATGAAGTGTCTCCTTCTATTTTGGTTGTGGAGCGATACCAGTAAGAGCCAACCTCGTGACCAAACATATCCTTTCTCTAGCATTCCCAATCTCTCCCCAGGCAAATCTCGGTATAATGACGTTGATGTATTACTGAATCTAAACTGATTTAACATAACTAACATATTTTGCCCTTTATGGCAGTCCTCACCCCTGGGCAAAGCTCGATAAATGACGTTGATTAAACATTGCTTGAGCATGGTTTGCCTGTTGGGTCTTGTACCTCACCTCTTGTGAACCAATCACCGGCACTATTCTACCTCACCTGTCCTCTTCTAGACACAATACTGTGTGACCTCTTCAACCTTACCATACCTAGCATTATTTGTATTATTATATTCAGTGACGGAAATGGGTTTTGGGAACAAGGCATACACTGTTTTTGGGAACTAGGTATACGCTGGTTTTGGGAACCAGCGTGTGTCTCGGTGGCCCCCATATCAGGTGGTGGTGGTGGTACTTCAGTTTTATAACATAACAATAGTAAGGGCTTCCTTCTGCACCGACTCTTGTAGTCATGTGGTGTATTACTGTAAAAATATGGCTCCACTTTGTCCTACATACTGTATGTTGCTTGTATATAAATGAATATTTTTTGAATGAAAGTTATGCACACACAGATTTACCAAGTGAGCACAATAATCTGAAAAGAAAAAAAAAGGTAAATACTGCTTGTAGTTGTAAAAATTTGTGCCATATTGAATTCAATTTTGATTCAATTAATTTATAGTAAAGTCAGCTTCATAGTAAAAGCTTCAGGAAAACAGTTGTTTAAAGGTCTTTATTTTATATAATTGTCATCAAAAACATATTTCCCATTGAATTATCAAAATGAAATTGTTGAGAATCTAGTCAAGTAAATTTCAGTACTATATATACAAGAGGCAAACTACTACTACATAACTGTACGGCTGTATAGTCACTAACACAGCAGGAGAGAGATTTTGTTTCAATGATCACTGGGTGGGATGTGGTTCTCTGAATTTTGAGTTAAGGGTGCTATTTTAAATATTATTATACGGAGTGAGAAAATCAACTGGAGCTCTTAGGTAAATTGAACCCGTGGCGGGCAGTCTGTTGGTCGCAGGTTCCAGTTGCCTAAGAGCTCCAGTTGGAGTTCTCATTGATATATACAGTAAATCACTTTAATGTGATTTCTTTGTGTATTATACACAGTGGTCCATAAGTCTGGAACCATGTGCTGTGTGTCTGGACACCTCACGCTGAACATTAGCCCATTGTGCATAACTTTTTCACTACCCCCACCTGGGATGACTATGGGGTCCACTACTGGCCATAGGATGGACATGGCGTCCACAGCCACCCACAGGATGGGCATGGCCCCCACAGCCACCCACAGGATGGGCATGGCCTCCACAGCCACCCACAGGATGGGCATGGCATCCACAGCCACCCACAGGATGGGCATGGCGTCCACAGCCACCCACAGGATGGGCATGGAGTCCACCCACAGGATGGGTATTGGGTGCATAATAAATGAACAAAATCAATCCGGACACTATTCACCATGTGATTGGTGACTGGTAGGTACCTCGTTTGTGTTTGTGTATCGAGCATAATGCTGTACACTATGTATAAAGTAAAATAGAAATACAAATGTATGTTGTCCTATGGTTCCAGACTTGTATAGTATTAATGAACTCTGCAGGGTGACCCATAATACTATATCATTTAGATGAATAGAATTTTCAGTATCATGGACCAAAGAACTTAAAAAAAAAAAGAACTGATTTCTATATACAGGTACTGTACTTGAGTTTTATCTCTGTTTTATCTCTATATTAATTTATTAGATCTCATTTCTTCAGTATTACTCAGATACTACTCAATGATTTATCATGTTTATCTTGACATTCTAAACAAAATAAAATATAATTTTG